GCGACGGAAACTAAACCCGCCCGACGGCCCAGGTTCGATTACCGCTAATACAGAGAGTTAGGGATCTAAGTGCGAGATAATGTCATAGTGAGCTAACACTGTCCATGGGTCAGTCTAGCTCCACGGAAACAATGCCATCTATTATAGGGAGCTTTTGTAATGTTCACCATCTGTAATCAGCTACCATCATGAAATATTTAATTGAGATCATTATTTCCATCTAGTTAAATGGTTGAATAAAAGATCAACAGTTTAGTGAAGTCGATAAACATAAAAAGTATGAAAACAAATAAAAATTACTAATTGCAAAAAAGCATTTGTTTGTGGAAATTACTTCTCAAACCTTATTGATAATTTTTAAATTGTGAAATGGAAGACAGAAAACGAAACTAATTATTCATATTTTATACGAATGGGATGGAATCAGAGGCGTAGCAAACCTTCCCGGCGCCCGGGGACAAACTTTTCGTTTTGCACCCCCCTCAAGATTTCGATTTGCCACCCCCCACCTCAAACTTTTGATTTTCACCCCCCTCAAGCTTTCATTTATATTTTTCCAACCCATTTTTTTCGCCCCCTAAGGTGGCGCCCGGGGACATATGTCCCCCCCCCCCCCCCCCTCGCTACTGCTATTTTCATCCTCTGAGCGACTTTTCAAAAACGTGTATAATGTATTTGACTTATGGAATTATACTCACACATTACAACTAATACGTGTTTCTTTTCTGTGCTGCAGTTCTTTAAAAATACAACTGAAAGAGAATAAATGAAACATTTTAAAAACAATTTAATTAAGTTTAATTTGCTTCAACTACTATACTGCCGTATAACAATGTAGGTATAATTGAACAATATTTTTAAGCTATAGTTTTACGCAGTGACGGAACTAGAAAAAAAGGGCCGCCTCGCAAAAAATATTTTGCCCCCCCCCCCCATATGTATATATATATATATATATATATATATATATATATATATATATATATATATATATATATATATATATATATAAATAAAAAATAATTATCAATAAAAAAGTTTTAAAAAACCCACGTTTTCTGATTGAACTAAAAAGTAGAAAATAAATGCTAAACGTCACAATAATGCAAGCGATCACTCTACTAAAAGCGATCGCAAACTGCGTGCGCATTATGACAAAAAAAGGAAAAACGTTTTTCATTTTTTGTCATAATGTGCCAACCATCCGCGCGGGGCCTTATATTTTTCCATTGGTGTCTAAAAAATGAACATTGAGGCGTTTTATTTTGTTCTTCTCATTGCGAATTAATATTTATAACGATATATAGGGTATTTTTAAGCTGCTCATCAATGTCGTATATTAGTTTAAACATAAAGACACTGATTAAAAAATAATTTGTTTATTTAGAAGTTCTTTTGAAACGTTGTTTGTTTCTGTTAAAGCTTTTTGTTTGAAAAATAAAAAAATAAAACAGATATAAGTTCGAGACACGCATTAAAGAGACGTTTTTACAAATCTCGACGTTTTACATCTCACTGATACGGAAAAACATAATTTTGCAATCTTGTCCGTATGTCTGTGTGTCTGTCTGTCTGTCTGTCTGTCTCTCTGTCTGTCTGTCCGTGTGTAAACACGATAACTTGAGTACCGTTACAGCTAGGTTGATGAAATTTCATATATAAGTATTTTATCAAAATCGTAGATCCGTATCAACTTTTGAGCGATTTCCGGAAACCGGAAGTGGTACTTTTCCTACTTTGAAATTTTCAAAAGCCTATAACTTGAGTACTATTTCAGATAGATAAATGAAATTTCACATGTAAGTAAAAGATCTAATTCTCTACCATCTGTTAAATTTTGAGTAATTTCAGTTGAGCGGAAGTAGTAATTTACGCTACTTCCGATTTCTCAAAAAACAAATGTAAATTTTTAAAGTACTAATAATATTTCGCACTATTATGCACTTTTTTTTATTTAACGTTCACTTGGTGTGCAATTAATTTGTCTACGAGATTTTATTCTATTTTTAAAACTTTAAGTATTTAAAATGGATTAAAATCATGTCTATAGCCCGAGTTCCCATCCCCTGTTATTTTATATAAGAATATTCGAGAAAGTTTATGGGAGATTACTCCCGGTTTATTTATTTGGCGTTCACTTGGTGTGCAATTCTTTTGTCTACGAGATTTTATTCTATTTTTTAAACTTTAAATATTTAAATTGGTTTAAAAATCATGTCTATAGCCCGAGTTCCCATCCCCTGTTATTTTATATAAAAATATTGGAGAAAGTTTAGGGGAGATCACTCCCGGTTTATTTACATTAATGTTTAATTATGAAAATCTTACCAGTGCGTTCACAAACGAAGAACTACTTTTTTTGCCTTTGGTGAGAAAAAATCTTTGATTATATCATCATAGTCCAAATTGGAGACAATGTCTTTTCCATTGACAGAATCGACAGGCCGCAGAGCCTGTCTTGGGACATCGTTGATACATGTTCCCAATTTTCCGGATCGTATAAATCTTTTACGATAATTGGGAATGAATTATTTTCGTCAGAATAATTTTCAGAATGGCCGCTTTATTTGTCCCTATTGTCGAAGTTTGTGGGGTTAGCAGCTGATAATTAATGACTCGAGGATTCATTGTTACCTTCATCACAACAAATGGTAGTACTCTCATAGTAGTCCTTTTTGTTACGTTCTACATTTGCGACATTGGAATCCTCAACCAATTCAAAAAGTTTTTGTTGTTTAACGACTTTCTTTGGATAGTGTATGTACTTGTCCAACGCGGCTGCTTGTGTTTTATCAAATTCTTCTCTTAAATTGCGTTTCCTCGCTTTTGATGCACCTGATTCATACTTGCGAAATCTATCTCTGTCTCTTGTAGCCATGGTGTTGAAGAAAAAGTGGCGAAATCACGTTGAAGCAACGTTAAATCCGTCCACAGTGGAGGGTGATAGTATCGATATTTTCTCAATTTATCGAGTGTTAACAGTGGCATTCAAAGTGTGTGGATGCCGGTGAAAATAGCAAAACATTGATAGATTTCGGAATAAGCTTTTAAAACCTTTCTGGATATAAGCAAGTAATGCTTAGCCTATAGCTATTATTAGAGAAGGAATACATAATGAGCTAAGTTGATTACTAAGTAAAAAGGCTGAACAATCTTGATTTTATTTGATTACTAGACTACCCGGTCATCCCTTGGATAACTGTGGGTTTCGGGGGCCATCCATAAATGACATCACGTCTGTCACTTATCATCACAAAATAACCAGACCCCCACATTAAAAAAAATGTTTTTTATCTTTTAAAAATACAGATTTCGGCTGAGCATAGGTCTGACCACACTATCCCTTTATATATGACGTCACAGGTGACCTACTCAACTCCACTTCACTGCCCAGTGTCCCGCCAAGTCTCAGACAACATGTTTTTATCGTTTAAAAAAACGATTCCGGCCGAGCAATTTCTCTGACCACACTATCCCTGCATATGCTTAGGACAAAGAACTCTACTTCATCTGCTCTGTATCCCGCCAAGTTCAGATAGTGAAATTTATCATTCACATCTAAAAAAAATTGAATGTTTTTTTTAACATTGACGTGTTATGTCTAGAACCCGTGCCACCCGCATGAAAGCCTATTACACTAACAACTTAGCTGTCTAGACTCATGATATCACTGGTGTTTTTTGTGCTATAACTCAATACTATAAGTCTCCTTGTGCAACTTGATTTACGCGCATAGGCCCTATCTAGACCTAGATCTAAGTCTAGTAACTTTCAAATTAAATTTTATCTTAAATTAGCCAATTGCATAGCTAAACAAAGATTTATATAAAATAGTTAAGGTCTGAAATAGATTCTAGATTTAGAATTTACATTAAGTCTAGATCTGACCTAGAACTAGATTCATAACTTTTTCTTCCTTCGACAGCTGATCTGTAGATCTAGAGAAATTTATTGTAAAACTAAATGAAAAAAGACAGTTGAAAATTGATACAAGTGTTGGAACGTAATAAACACAGCAAACGGACGTATTGTTAAAATTATAGCCGACAGAAAATTAGCTTTAGAACGCGTTTATCATTAGAAGGGGAACAAAATCTTCTTCGATAGAAGCCGCCATTTTATTGTACTAAAAAGTAAACAAATCATGTGACATCACTATTCAGTCAAAATAAGGCCATTGTTTGAAAATTTTAAAATTAATGTGGTTAATCTACCAATGAATAAATCAATTAATTAATTAATGTCTTTAAATAAATTTTTAATTACAGTCTGTCTGAAAACAAACATTGTTCTCTACCTACATACTATTTTACAGCTCCACACATATTGTAGATTCTCTCCAGTAGCAAATCAGACAAACAAATAAATATGCATACATGTAAACAAACTTGAGTTTTAGTAGTATTTAGATAAAACGAAAGATATATCAAACAACTTTAAAAGGAGACATATTGTCCTTTAAACAAATCATGAGCCATTTACAACACAAATTGACATACAATTGTTTTAATTAAGTCAGTGCTGCTAATTAGCAATATCATTTAAAAGTTGGATGACCAAGAATGTTTACAGTTGATATCCACGTGAATTTAAACAAAATACGTCTTATTTTAATTAAGTAATACTTTACTGTCCTTTTGCAAGTGCTGAAATGAAAATCACAGAGATTCGTATTTGTTAACCACATGGATCATCCTTGATGTGTTGTAGTTTATAAACAATGTTTTCGTCAGCTATTATTTGATATCAGTCACATAGTTTTAATCACTTACAAAACACGGGACACAACTTTAAAAATTATGTACATTAAAATTATACTATTTGTCTCCCCTGACAAGAGGTTTATCTCATTCTTGGTAATGTTTGTTTGAAGTTTCTGCCGCATCTTGCGTGAAACGTTTTGCCGCCAGCTTGACATAAATTTTATTTTAAAATTTGACTATTGAGGCTAGTTATTAAATGTTATAAAGCTCCCGCTTCAGACCAGGTGGTCGATATAGATGTTGAAGTACAGTTCACCTCTTCCTGTGACCTGGGCAGATGAAGGGAAAGTATGATACTTTATATACCTAGTCGCCTTTAATTTCTCCAACGCTAGCCAGGTACCCATCAGAGCTGGGTAGACTCAGTGAGTCAGGTACCCATCAGAGCTGGGTAGACTCAGGAACGCACCACAGACTCGAGCCCGGATCCGAGTTCGAGACATACATCTGTCTGGCGCTCTTCCGTTCGACCATAACATTCACACACGTTACATGTTATTTTACATGTATTAGCTACACGTGTTATCGTTACATGTCATTTTACATGTGCTAGCTGCAACTGTAATAGATAAATGTTATTTTGTATGCATAACTTGCAAGAGTCGCCAGTATACCTGTTTCAATGAAAATGTTACATTTTTCCCAACGACTTCGTCGCCTGTGTTGGTGTTTAAGTTTCTGTGTGAACTGTGACAGTCACCTCCAACACACCTGGTGCTGTTATACTTGGCTCAGTGTATCAGTACTAGTTTACCTGTACCAGTTTACCTGTACCAGTTTAGCTGTACCAGTTTACCCGTACCAGTTTACCCGTACCAGTTTAGCTGTACCAGTTTACCCGTACCAGTTTACCCGTACCAGTTTAGCTGTACCAGTTTACCCGTACCAGTTTACCCGTACCAGTTTACCCGTACCAGGCTACCTGCACCAGTTTACCTGTACCAGTTTACCCGTACCAGTTTACCCGTACCAGTTTACCCGTACCAATTTACCGGTACCAGTTTACCCGTACCAGTTTACCCGTACCAGTTTACCCGTACCAGTTTACCCGTACCAGTTTACCCGTACCAGTTTACCCGTACCAGTTTACCCGTACCAATTTACCGGTACCAGTTTACCTGAACCAGCCGTTGCGTTTAATGTCACCGTTCAACTGTCATTGTGCCTTTACCACATTAATCCTGCCCCTCCTATAGATTATTGGTTTTACACCCAACAGCTTGATAATCTCACTGCTCTAAAGTTAGCTTTATGTCATCCATTAGTGTTCTTATATGTTACATGCATGTTGGCTGTATTGTGGTTTTATAATAAAAAATAATAACCATAAAGTATGTTTTTATTGCTTTATAATTAAACACTAGACTACCCGTTATCTAGTTAGATAACTGTGGGTTTCGGGGGGTCATCCATAAATGACGTCACGTCTGCCAGCACATTTCATCCCAAAATAACCAGACCCCTCATTCAAAAAGACGATTTTATATTTTAAAAACTCTACTAAACTCTACTTCACCTGCCCAGTGCACCTCCAAGTCTCAGACGTGTTTGTATTTAAAAAAAAAAAAACTATTCCGGCCGAGCATGGCTCTTACCACACTATCCCTTCATATTAACTCTACTTCACCTGCCATGTGCCCCGCGAGGTCCTGATAGTCAACCTTATCATTCACATATAGGCCTTAGGAAAAAATAATTGAAAACGTTGTTGTAAAAATAAATTAAATCTATTAACTTTTACTAAAGTCATTGTTCTAAGCTTTTATAATAAATGTGGTTATCTACCAATGAATATATCAAATGTTAATTAACAGCTTTAAATTAGTTTGTAATTAACAGTGTGTTTAAGAAAGAACAATATTTACCACCCAAAATCCTATTTTACAGCTCTACACATAATGCTGAGTCTCCCCAATAACAAATATTAAAAAAAAACAAAAAAACAAAACAAAAATGAGTTATCAAACTTCTAAAACTTTAAAATTAATGTGGTTAATCTACCTACGAATAAATCAATAAATTAATTAACGTCTTTAAATAAATGTGTGATTAACAGTCTGTCTGAAAACAAAACTTTTTCTCAACTTCATACTATTTACAGCTCTCCACCTAGCGCCGATTTTCTCCAGTATTCAATCGGACAAAAAAAAAACAAACAAATAAATATGAAAAAATATAAACAAACTTGAGTTTTAGTAGTATATAGATAGATTGTATTTACACACTGGTGGATCCTGCTATTGAGTCAAAACCTTATAATACAATAAGTCGTTGCAGTGGCAATCACAGTAAGAAACAAAACATCAGCATCGTCATAATATCCCTTACTCCCTTTCGATATATTGAACACGTGAGCAATAACCAGAGACGGTGTGGTCGGATGTTAGAGTCTTACACTTCTAACATGAAAATCCGGTATTCGAATCCCGGGTCAGAGTCTACACCTACACGATGTAAGTCTACCTGAACACTTTGTAAGAATTTCGTAGTACATTGGGGGTCGGCGTGGTCGAGTCGGTAAAGCCCATGGTTGCTAAACCGAAAAGTCTCGAGTTCGAACCCTCGGGCAGATGAGGCTCGTTAGCTGGGGACAGCCACTCTTCTAGGAGAGACAACTCCAAAAATAAACAACTGCTGCCTTGTAGTTTGTTCTTGGTTGGACAAAGGCTATGGAAGCAAATCCAAAAAGAAAAGCAGGCTGAAATCGGAGTCAATGGCCTCAATGGCGCATAACCAGTTGACACGTAACGCTTAATTGTGTTGGAGGCGTGGTCGAGACATGGTTGATAAATTCGAACAAAGTCTCGAGTTCAAACCAACTGGCAGATAAATCTCGATCCCTTTCAACACTAATAATTAAGAACGAAGAAGAAGAAGTAGTACATTGACACAAAGGCGTTTTAATCTCTTAAAACATTGTACAAAATTAATAAATCTATTTGGAACTCTTGCCCTAATCACATGTAGTAAGTTCAGGTCATATACATTATGTGATTATCATGACAAACCTCATGTTTTAGTCAAATTAAAATAATCGTCGCTCGATATTTTAATATTTTAATACTACTGCTGGTATTCAAAAACTCGATCACGTAACAACACATCATAGTACATTGTATACTGAATACGTCAAAGTACATCGGAGTACTGAATATATCAGTGCACAGGAGAAAACGTCTATTTAGTACCTCGCCAAGGGCAGAGTATGCTGTTCGGGCCCACAAACGATATCAACTGCGAGTTGTCTCTCATTGCTGGGATGTCAAATACGTTAGGTGAGGTTTCTGTTGTAGACCACACATGGACTGTATTATGTCAATGTCCAGAGGCGTAGCTACCAATTTCTGCTCTTGAAGTGAATTATCAATTTTGCACCCTCCCCCCAATTTAGTTTTTGACATTCCTGTTGTTGAAAAAGTGCTTCTGTCAATGTTGTGTCTATCGTGTAATTAATGCTTTGCTACGTCAATACATATTATTTTATAGGAATTTATTTTTCATTATTATAAACTTAATTAAACATGACAAATAAAAAGGGGTTGGAGTCAGGCATCTATATATATAATTCTCTTCTGGGAGCCGTTAGAAAACAAGCTGTAAGCGCCTCCTTGCAGCCCCCTCTCTTTCTCTCTATCACTATCACTACCAACCCCACCCCACCCCCACATTGTCTGGTGAGCTGTGGTCACGCTAAATGTTTATAAAGCTAAATGTTTACAAATCGTAGAGCCGTAGAGCCGGGTTTCTATTAGGGGCAGACAATTTAGTTCGATTTTAAACTTACAGGAGGTAACTAAGAAATAACTAAGAGAAGGCTGCTTTCACGGGGGGGGGGGGGGGGGGAGGGGTAGTGTTTTAAAGCAAATATTTTCAGTGGCAGCATTGGTACTGTCGAATTCACAAATTATGAATTACTGAAAAGTAGAAAATAAAACAACTAAATAGCGGCGTATGATACGCTGCGGGTCGGCTCGTTGTTAATAAAATAGCTTTAAAGACAAGTTATTATTACTATACCAAATGTAGACACATGTACAAAATATAATCCTAGACGGGATCCGAACCCACCATTACACAGTTTTAGTAGAGCTATGCTTCTGACCTGAAGCACTACAGGCGAAGCAAACCGGTGCTGTATAAAGTAGTGGGTTCGAATCCCGTTTTTCTAGGTATAAATGTTGTACCTGTGTCTATATTTTTGCTGCAATTATAATTAATGTCTATATTGCTTTTATAATGAATATATGTGAATACAGTAATGGATTGTTTTTTATTGGATACTAAATATTTATCAAAATAAAACAAGCACCGAAATTGTTGAGTTTATTAGCGTTTTAAATATAATAAAACAGATGTTGCTTAATGATTATCTGAAACTCAATACACATAGACAGATACAATAACAAAATTAAGAGCTGTGCCCATAATTAGATAAGGTATCAGTAGCTAATTTACTTGGTTCAAGAGCATTGAACCGAGTCTAACTTGATAAAAATTAGCTTAAAGTTTCAGTTTTGTATCCGGTAATTACCGTCCGCGTCCGTGTCCGTGTCCGTGTCTGTGTCTATGTCTCTGTCTCTCTTCTCTATTCATATATATATATATATATATATATATATATATATATATATATATATATATACATCTGTTCTATAACTATCTATCTATATCTACCTCATTTCTTTCTCTATCTCTATCTATCTCTACCTCTCTCTATCTATCTTCATCTCAATCCCTCTTCCTCTCCCTCTTATGTAGAAGGCCATTACCAGCTCACAGTGTCACTCATTAGCGAAGCCAACCGAAACAGTGTTAAAAGATCGATGATTCTCTTCCCCCTTGTTACACCCACTAGACGGGTTGGGTTTCCTCCCCTAATGCTAGGCACTACCAGGTTCAAACTTACTGTCTCAACCTCATGGCTACTATACCTCCCCATAAATCCAACGCTTCAGCCTAGAAGACCCCCGCCACCACCCATATCTACACATGTTAGACCTTTTAAAAGAGAATCCCATCTCAAAGAGATTCTCATTTCAATGTAGGTCTGTGCACTCAACGGTGAATGGCATATCCGTGACAGAGATGATCGCTAAACCCTGACGTATTTTACTTGAGTTAGAAGTAGAACTTGTATAGAGTGACTTATCAGATGTTTAGTGTATAGTCCTGTGGACAACATGTTCAGACTTCGTGAAAAGGCTGAACAAGATATAATGTGGCTTGGTGCACCAGAAGGTTAAAGTGGTCTTCGAATGAATTGGTTAAGAGGTAAACTTGACCTGTAGTCCAATAGTGGCCAGTTGTCAAATAAAAAATCATTTATATTTAACACAAGCAGTCTACCAAATAGCTATTCTATTATGTACAAAACGCTGGGGTGAAAATAAAATATATCAACTACCATAGGACTGTGGGATGGCATGACCGAAAGTAAAGGCGGCTAACACAGTCCTGACCACATTATCCCTTTATATGCCAAGGTCACAGAAATAGATGGACTCTACTTCATCTACTTAACGGATTGCTAGGTTTACTTCTACTTATTTTACGATATTACTGCCAAAGTAGTTAACTCAATCAATCACGTTGTTTACTCAATCTCATTTACATCATAAGAATAGACATGGCCATCTATTGTGCAGCAAAAGTAAATGTGTGCTGTGTTGCATTCACAACCGATCACTGTTTTTTTTGTTCAGACTCCTTTTGTCTGCGGGTGGGTGGAGGGGGGTACCTGAATCTGTGTGGTAAGGGGGGTCTGAAGAGGTCTGAACGATATATATATATATATATATATATATATATATATATATATATATATATATATATATATAAATGATTCAAGAGAAACGGGTCACTACACCTACGTGTTAACGAATGCCTCGTGAGGAGCGGGTGGGGTGGGGGAGATAAAAGTCATACAAATCACTTGAATCTAGCCGACGTCAGCAGAAAGGGGGGGGGGATTGTACCGTATTTCACATCACAGTAAGTGGATTAATTATATCGTTCGGTATGTGAAACGCTCGGCGGAGCTACCTAAACAGTGCCGCTAGTGAAATACGTCACACTACATTTTTCGGGAAATTACAAAATTGGTATCGGAACAAGTGTTTCCTCTGTGTTGAATTATTTATGATGAACGTGTTGATCAAAAAGTTTAAATATTAACTTTAATTGCTCTTCAAATCTTACTGTTTATTACAATTGCTTTTTGGGTGTTTGATATTTCAAAACAATTGAGAACGTCATATATTTCATACTATCCAATTTGCATTCTTATTTGGTTTTCTTTTCGATTCTTATAGTGTACATCTTCATTAATTCTGTATTGTTATATCTATTTTCGAAAGTATAATGCTTTATAACATAAAAAAACAACTTAAGTCTTGGTTAGAAGTATTATATCCTTATTAAACTTATTGCAACATGTTTTGTGAAAAATAAGTGAAACAAAATATAATATTCGGACAGATTTTTTAACGGTAACCATAACAAAATCCTTCTTACCTCAACCAAGTTGCAGGACAACATGTTTTAAAATTGGTAACTGTCGATTCAGTTTGGAGCAGCTAATAATTTTTCCCCACACCCCTACTACCCTGTCACATAGACTATAGCATAGAGAGCACTCACGTAAACGTGGCGTATCGTTATTTTTAAAGTTACAATGTCACATACCATTAGCAAGATATTAAATTTCACGAGCCAGGTGGTTAGTGGCTAATATAAAGTCAGTTTCTACCCCCAAGTGATACAAAATTGTGTAGTGTTTGGATTGTGCTGGAATTGGGTTTTTGTTTGAATTGGAAATTTTTTGTTGTTGGTCTATTGCAATTAAAGTAAATTTCATTTTTAACGTTTGTTTGTTTCAAAACACTCTTTCAAATCAAGCTGCTCAACTTGCAACAGACATGGATAAATGGCCACAATTAGAAGAATTTTTTCAGACCATTAAGGTAAATACTAGCAGATATATTATACTAATTGTGCCAACCAAAGTTTTGTAATTAATTTTCTTTATCTTCTGCTGTAAAGTAAACATTTATATGTATAACTATGTATAACTAGGTATAACTATGTATATGTTATGCAATGTATTTAAAAAACACTGAGGATGATAAAACAAAAGAACAGTTGCAGCTCTAATTATAAAATATTTCGCATGACGAATATTTATTAGAGATTACTTCTGTATCATTGTGTGCCCTTTCTTCAGTATGTTATGCAGCAATTAGTTCATGTATCATATCATCTCGGATTCTTTAGGTCAAATGGCATAATTGTTCCTGTTCTGGAAGGTATAGCTGATATATTTCCGCATTGATAGGAAATATGGCCATTATTTCTCTACCTCTTCATGCAATACATAAAATTTATTCAATAATAAATAAATAAATTAGGGCAAAGGGAATTCGAGCAGAGATTATTTTGATTCTTGTCATAAAAACAATAATATCAAAGTCAAAATTTTAAATATCAATTTATTTTGATGTGAATAAAAACGCTAGAACTACAATTATGCTTTAAATTGATTTTGAATTGAATTCACGCCATCATAATTAAACATATTTAATAAAAGCAAGTTAAGTTATACAAAAAAGTCAGCATTTCAAAACTGCGGAAAAAAAATTAATTTGTATTTGTTTTGATAGGGCACCGACTGTGAATCATTCCTGATTGGATTTCAATTTCTATAAATAAACTAAGTAAAAAAAAAAACATTTTAACAAACATTCTTTCTGAAATATATGTTTCTAAAAATTGTTTTTTTTTATAATTTTGTTTAGAACACGCCGACCAAGTATGATAATGTGGTACATGAACTCCACAAGGGAGAGCACTTCTCTAAGATGTACGCGGCCTACAGGCCCCAATACCCACAAGAGATCTACGACAAGATCATGGCCTACCACTCGGAGAACCCAAGCAACGAGAGACAACTCGCTGTTGATGTTGCTTGTGGGACTGGACAGGGTACTCTGCCCTTGACTAAATATTTCAAAAAGGTTTCTTAACTTGTTTACAATCAACTTTTATTACATTCATACTGTCTCATTATATCTGTCCTTCTCTTTATGGCAAATCTTATAACTGAATTTCGAGCCACAACAACAATTTCATTCAAACTCTCATATACATTAAGCTCAAAGATACATTCGAGAAAATCTAACTTTAAATTGAATTAGATTTTAAAATATTTATTAGAATTTCAATTAAAAATTACTAAATTCAACAACTTAAGCGGAGATTAAGTAGGATTAGGTAGGATTAAGTAGGATTAAGTAGGCCCAATGACGAACTGCCGTCAGCTTTTTAAACGATTAGGAACCGAACATTAATATTAATAAGGGACCAATAACTTTCGTTTAGAGTTGTAATCGCCAACATCTGCAAATATTTTTACTCATGAAGCACCAATTGTTTTTTTAAAAACATAGATTATGCCGTTTTCGTTTGACTGAATGGTAACCATGTATCATATTTTAACATTGTGTCAACCGTTTCTATTCCAGGTGATAGGGACGGACGTGAGTGAAGACCAAATCAACAACATGCCGAAAAATGTTCCAAACCTGGAGTCTCACGTGTCGTTTGCAGAAGATCTCAAATTTCTGACAGACGGGTCGGTGGACCTCGTAACCATAGCAACAGCCCTACACTGGGTGGATCAGCCCGAGTATGATTCAACACTAATTTCATCAATACCGTGATTCTTAACTAAACAAATACATCGTAGCATTAAACGTGAACATTAAAAGTGAACATTAAAATTTGTTAAAGTAACAACTGTTTTCGAGGCACCAAACATCACAAGCCAAACATAAGCTTACACAACATAAGCTACAATAGCATGGTTTCTTTCAGACATTTTACTCCGGGTGGGGTGGGGGGGGGGTGGGGGTTGAAATTGCTGTTAAGGGCGAGAGCTGGTAAATTATCATCCACGATTTACGTTTTTTTTCAATTTAATATTATTTTTTTCTCTACCGTAGATTAGATCTTGGGAGAGAATCTTGAAAGAAATACTTTACAATAGTAATGTCGATCTACTGTCTGTGTGTCTGTCCGTCTGCACGTCTGTTTTTTCTGTCAGTTTTAAATACAATTTTAAAATTACTCTTTACGTGTGTATATGCTTGTAATTCAGTAATGCTGCAATGTTTTTTTGGCCAGGTTTTTTAAGGAAGTAAAACGTGTGTTAAAGCCTGGTGGGACTTTTGCCGCGTACACTTTCCATGGGGATAATATTGACGACACTGAGTGGCAGACGTACTATTTTGGTGTGAGTAAATTTGATTTTGGTTTAAAGTTGTAAAAATTTGATTGATATTTAAAAAAAACATTGTCTCATTTTAGATTAATCGAACCTATTAAAAAAGAGGTGTCCGAGGTTTTAAGTTTTTGTGTTGTTGTAACGCGATAGACTGTTCAGCACAAATATGTCGTCTGCTAGAGTTTCCATTCAAATTATTATTTCAATGAACAATTCTTCAGGGTTGGGAACTTTTTTTATAATTTAGTTTATTACAGTAAGGCGTTTAATTATCCATCAATTACCAAAGTTTTGAGTACTTCAAAAAATAGATCGTTTTTTACTTTCTCGTATATACGAAGTATAGAGAAGTATTGTAATCGTGCAAAAAAAATCGAGATTTTTACAAATCTCAACATTTTACACCTCACTGATACGGAAAAACATAATTTTGCAATCTTGTCTGTATGTGTGTGTTTGTGTGTGTGTGTGTGTCAGCTAGGTTGAGAAAATTTCATATATAATTAATTTATCAAAATCGTAGTTCCATATCAACTTTTGAGTGATTTCCGATAACATGAATGGGTACTTTTTCTACTTTGAATTTTTTTAAAGCCTATAACTTAAGTACTGATTCAGATAGATAAATGAAATTTCACATGTAATTTAAAGATCTAATTCTCTACCTTCTGTCAAATTTTGAGTAATTTCAGTAGACCAGAAGTACTAATTTACGTTTTTTCCGATTTCTCAAAAAAACGCATGTAAATTTATAAAGTACTAATAATATTCTTTTTTTCTACGAGACTCTACTCTAGTTTTAAAAGTTTAAGTAATTAAAAATCATGTCTATATTCCAAGTTATATAAGAATATTCGAGAAAGTTTAGGGGAGATCACTCCCGGTTTATTTATGGAACGAGACGTTAATTTTCCCACGTTTTCTTTAACTTGCTTTCGCGTCTGTTTGTTTATTTGTTTGTTTGTGTTTCCAATCAAATCTTGCGATCGAAATTTCGGGCACTTCCCAGTTAGCTAGCGCACTGAAATGTTCAGGGAAGCTTTGTTTCCGATGACAATACAATATTCAATTATTATTATTACTAAATGTTTCCATGGAAAAATTTTATTGATCATTTTAGACCCCTATTGATTTGTACAAAAAAGGGACATAACCTAGTAATTGTAATTTGATAAAACAAGGTTCGGTACTTTCCCTCTTGTGGCTTACTGAAGGAGAGCACGCGATTAGCTGAGTAGTGGTCACGCGGTGTTTGTGTACAAACAACCGGAACGTAACAACTGGTGGCCAGTATGGGGGAGACGATGTGGTCGAGTGGTTGGGCACACCATTGCTAACCCACTCGACGCGGGTTCAAATCTATGTGTTCTAGTCAGTAACGTATTCACACAACAAAGCCATAACCCGCCCATTGTAAAAACAACGCTTCGTGTCTAACTTCCAACTTTTATTCCGTCTCATATCTTTACACACAACAGACCAGCCCTCGTCCTAACCTAGTAATTGTAATTTGATAAAACAAGGTTCGGTACTTTCCCTCTTCTCGCTTACTGAAGGAGCGAGCACGCAATTGGCTGAGTAGTGGTCACGCAGTGTTTGTGTACAAACCTATGCAAATCTGACTGATCAGGAAGTAAAATGTTGATGGTCGAATGGTTTGCACGCGAGGGCAAAATGGTGAAAGAAACGGCAACACATAAGAAACGTCGATTGGAAAAGGCACGTGTTTTTTACGAGTTGTCTTCGTTTACCCAAGAAAAAAAAGTGAATGCGAGAAGATAAAATCAATAGCAAGATTTGAATGCAAACAAACAGACAAAGACTAAAAAGTAGAAAATAATTATCATTAAAAAAGTTTTTAAAAACCCACGTTTTTTCTGATTGAACTAAAAAGTAGAAAATAAATGCTATACATCACAATAATGCAAGCGATCACTCTACTATAAGCGATCGCTAACTGCGTGCGCATTATGACAAACAATGAAAAACGTGGGGCGCCGTGATTTTCTTACAGTTTTCAATACTGTTGACTCTCTACAAGCTCCCTAATAAGACTAAATAGTATTATCAAAGTAATAGTAATATAACTTTTACATCTTATATTAACAATGACCGATGAAAAACGTTTACTTCGGCGCCCCACGTTTTTCATTTTTTGTAACACGTCGTCACTAAAAGCCAGACCTATCCTAAAATGACGTCACACCTCAGCCTCAACCCCCCCCCCCCCCACCTCAAAATTGCTGTTGAACTTCTCTTAAAACATCGATATTTTTATTACAAGCTTTTATTACACTCACTTCCTCGCAGAGGCGTATCCAGGTTTTCGTTGCAGGGGGAGCGAAAAGAGCAAAAAAAGGCGCCGAATTTTTAACACGTTCTATATACTCGTATTATATATATATATATATATATATATATATATATATATATATATATATATATATATATATATATATATATATATATATATATATATATAATTACTAGTTGTATGTCATTACTTCGCTATGATGTAAAATAAATTGAAAGTAGCACTCTGAAGAGAAAAAGAAAAAACACACAATGTAAGCCGACAAAACAAAAATTGTATCAATCTAAACAAAAAAACAAACAAAATATACACACACTACAACCAAAACCAATGAACGTAACACAATCTGTTTTGTAATTCTTGTAAAAAAATATTCTTACATAATAATTCCTGGGAAATTATTTAAGACAAGTGAAATAGGGGAAATAAATACTCTCTTAATATAAATATGTATATATCTACACATTTAATTATACATGTCGAAACAAATAAATACTTAGTTTAGAATATAATGAAATTGTTTAACACTATTCGTGTTTACAAAATGTTTTTGTCTATAATCAGCATTAAATATATCGTCATCATAAATGCTAAAATATTACAGCATAATGAAAGTTTTTGAAATCAAAGTTGGTATAAAACCACGCTTTTCGATATAATAGAAAAACATTCAGAATAACAGCCTACATTTAACTAAATATTGATCTTTTAGTTCAGATCATACATTTTTTAATTTACTACTGCTTCTTTGTGTTCTTTAAAGATCATTTTTTAACATAGTGATATGTATGGGTTAGATCACTGTATTGCTGACACACCTTTTTACTGTTCGGTCATTTTAGGTCAATTATCCAACCCAGTGTATACCTAGGTGTGACATTAATGCCGCTGTACACGATTGTGGTGGTGAGGGTGTGTGTGGGGGGGGGGGGGGGAGATAACCAACTCAGAGTGAACATAGCGTCAGTTTTTCGATGACTGTTCTAAACATACATGTATATTACACATGTATACTGATTCAGAAATAGATTTAAATAAATAGCAGTGGTATTATGACAATATTTTTTTACAGAGGGGTCCATGGGGGAGGGGGTTTAACTGCTTCATATAATTTGTAATCGTAATCAATATCGCCCAAACTGTAAAGTACTACTACTTCATTGTGATGACGTTGTTGACCTTGCCAAAATTTCCCCACCGCTACGCAGTTTGCCCATAAATAAATTTAAATAGAGCTTCCACATCAGTTGTATTTGTTTCTGTATTGTAATTTTTAAAAAAAATTAATCACACGATTCAAACTGTATATATAAAGTAATTATGTGTGAAGTTTTATGTATAACATTTTCTAATGCAATTATTCGTATGCAAATACATTATACAGTTGCCTTAAACTTAACACCCCTCTTGCCAAGTGGTACTACCGGTAGAGGATTTTAAAAAATTCCAATGCATCGTTATGTTTATTTTTAGAATGGCAAACTGATGCAGCTGTTAATACGTGTTGTAAACGTAGACACTGCTAGACTAGTACAAAAATGCTTAATTGCTGCATAAAAAGAAATCTTGTGATTTACATAGATGTGCCGACCAAAAATATTTTTTTAACAAATATCATTGTTTAAAACTTTGAGTTTAAAAAGTTTCCAAAAAAGGCGCCACTTTGCTGAAAATTGCCTGCTCCCCCCTGCTTACGCTACTGCTTCCTCGTCAGTCTGTCGTCAGTCTGTCTGTCTAGATCGAAACGCCAGAGCGAAAATTCGGACACTTTTAACTGACAGATACGGTTCGTAATTAATACGTGGGTTAAGACATGAAGACAATGCATTGTTACATTATGACATTTGACTTAATTGGATGCCTAATTAATTTTTTATGAATTAATTAAAATTTGGACCGAATTAGTAGGCAGATCTATCCACACGCGTCATCACGGCCTTGTTGAGTGTGGAGCGAGGGGGGGGGGGGGGGGGCTCTACGTCAAAAGCGCGACATCAGGTTTAATAGACGCGATGGTTTTTAGTCGTTTTAGCAGTCTAGTTCTTTACCACTAGACTACGCCATCCCATAATATTTTACTGAATTAATCTATAAACTTGAAAATGGGTTTTAGTCATGTAACTATTGTAAATAAAACATGTAAAGTACTGAAAAAAAAATTCATTAAAAAATCGTTTTAATAACAAGCTTTTATGTATTAATGCAATAAAAAATTGTATTGTCATCGGAAACAAAGCTTCCCTGAAAATTTCAACGCGCTAGCTAACTGGGAAGTGCCCGAAATTTCGATCGCAAGATTTGATTCGAAAAACAAACAAACAAACGAACAAACAAACAAACAAACAAACAAACAAACAAACAAACAAACAAACAAACAAACAAACAAACAAACAAACAAACAAACAAACAAACAAACAAGCAAACAAACAAACAAACAAACAAACAAACAAACAGACGCGAAAGCAAGATACCCACGCTTTTCTTTATAGTTATTTAAATAGTAGTGTACAATATATTTTATACTTTTTAGTGCATTATTACATAAAAGCTTGTTATTAAAACGTTGTTTTATGAATTCTTTTTTCCAAAATCTTCTCAGAACTCTGTCAACATAGAGTACTTTGATCAATTCCTATCACTATTTATTAAAACTGTTTCCTTAAACGCGAAATAACGGCTAAAACTCATTTTATAGCATTGCTTTTTATTATGAAAAAAGTGACGTCACACTATCTGAACACCCCCCCCCCCATTACTCCGTCACAAAATTACGGACCCCCCTACTAGTGTGACTTCATTTATGGATGACCCCTAAGGTATCAACATGGCGGCGCTTAGCAGTATTTGATTTTGGTCACGTGAGTCCTTAGGCATCTCGACCATCAATCATGGTGAACTTTTAGTCAGGGGAGACAAATAGTCTTATTTAAAGTACAAAAGTATTTAAAGTTGTGTCCCAAGTCGAATTTTAAAGTATTCATTATTTAAAGTTGTGTCCCATGTCGAATTTTCAAGTACACAAGTATTTAAAGTTGTGTCTCATGTCGAATTCTAAAGTATACATTATTTAAAGTTGTGTCCCATGTCGAATTTTCAAGCACACAAGTATTTAAAGTTGTGTCCCATGTCGAATTTTAAAGTAGACAAGTATTTAAAGTTGTGTCCCATGTATAATTTTAAAATACATATTATTTAAAGTTGTGTCCCATATTATGTGAAATTTAAAACATTACATGTTTTTACTTAAATCAAATAATAGCTAATGAAGAAACTGTTTAAAGATTATATCACATCAAGGACTATTCATCTTATTGACAAATATGAAAACACGGAATTTCCATTTCAACAATTGCAAAGGTACAGTAACGTTTTATTTTAAGTGAAGACAAGATGCATTGTTTTTTAAATGCACGTTTTCATATACAATGAATAATTAAAAATTCACACTTTACAATAATATCGCTAATTTAAAACTCTGACTTGATAAAAATCTCTACATCAATTTATTTTCTTAATTGTTTATGATTTGTTTAAAATAAAATATGGCTACTTTTAAAGTTGTTTAATATAGCTCTCGCTTCATCATCAAGTAAAATCCAGACTGTTAAGATCTTTTACTTAGTAATCAACTTAGCTCATTTGTAGCCCTTGTCTAATAATAGCTACAAGCATTCCTTGCTTAAATCCAAAAAAGATTTTAAAAGCTTGATCGCAACATTAATTTGTAACGAATGTTAATTTTCTTTTTTTCTCTTTATTTAACAATCAGATACGAGGGTATCAAGTACACAAAAGAGCTGACGGTTGATGAGTACATCGGGTATCTCTCCAGTATTCACTGCATCAACATGTACATCTTGGACAACCCTGACAGTAACATTCTTGATGTAATGAAAGAAAAGTAAGACATTTTTTTAGCGCAATTTCCATTTTGGAGAATTGCGTTTATTAACCCGTCATTTCTGGATGTATAAATTGATGTGTGTCCGCAGATTTAAGTCGTATCTCTTCCTCAACGAAGCAATCTCGAGGACTAGTTTCAAAAGCAATTATGTTAAGCAAGTTACGAGGATGATAGTGGGCCAAAAACATTCCGGGTTTCTTTCATGGATTTCCCGGAAAAGCCAAAAAAACCTTAAAAAATGCAGTTTTTGGCCCATATCTCGGCAACCAGACCACTTAGCGACTTGAAACATTTACTAATCGATTCCTGCCATAATTTAGAACAATATTGCCGAAGAAAGTTTCCAAAAATATTCTTTCGTTCGGTCACAAAATGTTTTTAGAATTAATTAAAATTTGGACCGAATTAGTAGGCATGTTTATCCAACCCCACCACACGCGTCATCACCTTCAATAGCTGCGTCATCACGTTCAATGGCTGCGCCATCACGTTCAGTAGCTAGGCGCGCAATGGTTTTTAGTCATGTAACTCAATTGTAAATAGAACATGTAAAATACTGAAAAAAAATTAATAAAAAACGTTTTAATAACTTACCAATGGTTTTACTAACCCTGCTCTTGATTTACGCTACGACAGAGCTATTTTTGGATAACATAAGGAAATTGCGCTAAAATTGTCACTAGACTTTTTAATTACCTTGTTTTACTTGCGATCTATGTGCTGTGAAAGACGAATTTGTAATTAATCAAAACACTGCTTATTATATAATTAACCAGTGTGGTTAAAGTTGAAAAAAATGTTTCAATTTTTAATTACATAATTAGACTACTGTTGAGGCTAATATCTGAATTGTTAGATTTTTTTTAAATCTAAAAAAATTCTCTATTCTTTAAGATTTTTGTTTCTATTTTTAATTTGCGGAGTTTTCTATTGTTCAGATAAAATCGATATATTTTCGTTTCTATTTAAATCTTTGTTTCTTTTTGTTCCTGTATAATTTTGTTGTTACCTTTACGTCCAACAGACTGATATCCATATACAAGACCAAAACAGCAAGCGATGAAGAAATCAAGGTGAAGGTCAACAGCGAGATCATCCTATTACTCGGCAGGAACTAGCATACACGTCATATTTTGAAAACTACATTTTTGATTTATGAAATCAAACCTTACCTTAATGTTAACGTTAAGTTCATGTCATTTTCAACAGTAACATGTAGAAACAATCACATTATCTCTTTTTATGTCAGTAAGGGAGTCGGGTTCGAAAGAATTTTTTTAAACCTTTCATTTAAAAAATACATACTGATTTGTTTTTAGAAGACCTTTGTTCCCGGTTTTTCCCCAAACGTTGCTAACGAGTGTTAAATCAAAGACCGACAAATTGCGATTGTAATTTTCTAAAATTATATTAAAAATAACATACTTTTGTTTTAATTAAAATATGTGAATTGAAGATCAGACATGTATTAGGTTAGTCTTTCCATTTAGAGGCACTAATCACACACAGTAAGGATCAAAGATTATAAGATTACAACAGAAACCAAACTATCTTTATAGTTGAGCAAGATTATAAGATTACATCAGAAATCAGACAATCTTTTTTGGTTCAATAAGATTACAAGGTTACAAAAGAAAACAGAAAATATGTTTAGTTTGATAAGATTATGAGATTATAACAGAAATCAGAAAATATGTTTAGTTCAATAAGACAACAGAAAATCAGAATATACTTTTAGTTTCATTTATAGTTTGCCTTTTGCATCTACTTTTTCATACATTGATCTAGTTATAAATCTTTTTTTCTCACTTGTATTCGATGCATACGGCGTTGTTCATAAAGGGAATCAATCTAAAATCTCGCTAATTTATATGGGGTATAATATTATAACATAAATACTGTAGCTTGAACTATTACACCAGGTTGGTACTCAACAAAACAAAAGATTGTTTGAAAATTTAGCGGCTAATGGCGGAACCTTAGACTGGTAATCAGTCCAGCTACGGAGGGGAGGTTAGGGGAACCTTAGTCTGGTAGTCCAGCTAGGGAGGGGAGGTTAGTATTGTAGCCACCTCAGGGGGGGGAGGTTAGTATTGTAGCCACCTCAGGGGGGAGGTTAGTATTGTAGCCATCTCAGGGAGGGGAGGTTAGTATTCCAGCAAACTCAGCTAGGGGTAGGGGAGGTTAGGGGAAACCTTAGTCTGGTAGTCAGTCCAGCTAGGGAGGTGAGGTTAGTATTGTAGCCACCTCAGGGAGGGGAGGTTAGTATTGTAGCCACCTCAGGGAGGGGAGGTTAGTATTGTAGCCATCTCAGGGAGGTGAGGTTAGTATTGTAGCCACCTCAGGGAGGGGAGGTTAGTGTTGTAGCCACCTCAGGGAGGTGAGGTTAGTATTCCAGAAAACTCAGCTAGGGGTAGGGGAGGTTAGGGGAACCTTAGTCTGGTAGTCAGTCCAGCTAGGGAGGGGAGGTTAGTATTGTAGCCACCTCAGGGAGTGGAGGTTAGTATTGTAGCCACCTCAGGGAGGGGAGGTTAGTATTGTAGCCACCTCAGGGAGGTGAGGTTAGTATTCCAGAAAACTCAGCTAGGGGTAGGGGAGGTTAGGGGAACCTTAGTCTGGTAGTCAGTCCAGCTAGGGAGGGGAGGTTAGTATTGTAGCCACCTCAGGGAGTGGAGGTTAGTATTGTAGCCACCTCAGGGAGGGGAGGTTAGTATTGTAGCCACCTCAGGGAGGGGAGGTTAGTATTGTAGCCACCTCAGGGAGGGGAGGTTAGTATTGTAGCCATCTCAGGGAGGTGAGGTTAGTATTGTAGCCATCTCAGGGAGGGGAGGTTAGTATTGTAGCCACCTCAGGGAGGGGAGGTTAGTATTGTAGCCACCTCAGGGAGGGGAGGTTAGTATTGTAGCCACCTCAGAGAAAGGGGGAGGGGCAGTTAGGGGAACCTTAGTCTGGTAGTCAGTCCAGCTAGGGAGGTGAAGTTAGTATTGTAGCCACCTCAGGGAGGGGAGGTTAGCGCTTGTGATCAAACACCAGTTGATAGACCACATGTGATCAAAGACACTCTGCTGAGAAAACACCTGCGGTCAAACCCCCTATGCTCAAACCCCTTATGATCAAACCCCCTATGGTCAAAGCACCGCTGTGGTCAAACCCCCTATGGTCAAAGCCCCTATGGTCAAAGCTCCGCTGTGGTCAAACCCCCTATGGTCAAACCCCCTATGGTCAAATCACCTGTGGTCAAAGGTCCTAGGACCGTTTTATAGACACCTAATGTGAGGGGTGGTATTATTGTATATACCCCAGGTATAACGGAGTTTACTGTCAAATGATGTAGGGGCCTTGTTAATAAGAAAATGTATTAAGAACTTTTTATGCAATTTAACATCGTTTTTAGATCATTAAGCATTAACGTGTGTTTTATACGAGATTTGATTGGTCATTAAATAACAAATAAAATAAAAATGAAAAATTTTCGCTCTTATTAGTTGGGGTTTTTCTAGTCCCATTTGGATGTCAGGATTTGACAAATCAATTGAAAAAATAGTTCATCGGTAAAAGCTGGGTTTTTTTGTGTCAATAAATGCTTCGCTTTCCAATTTTCTGAACCACCTTTAAAAATTTATCTTTACATCCGGTTTAAGGATTTTGAATGATTATTTCTAGACCTTGTGACAGAACGCTTGTTTTAACTTGCATTATGTATGTCGATCTTAGCGACGTGTGGCTAGAGCGAGTTGGCCGGCAACTACACTTGGGTGCGATATTTATACCATGTGGAGTTTGTGTGTAAAAACTGTTTTAACAAACGAAAAAGAAAAAACAATGCTGAAATTCATTTACTTCACAGTTAAGCCGCGGTTATCTCGTTTAAAAAGAAAGTTAAGTCGCATTTATCGCAAAAGACATTTGATCAAAAATTAAAAACACGCTTCATAAGATCAATATTATGCTTTATTTTTACACGAATTGAATAACGATTTCGCCACTAACATTCTTTTTTTCCCACGTTTTCTTAAACCTGCTTTCTCTGTTTTTCCAATCAAATCTTGCGATCGAAATTTCTGGCACTTCCCAGTTAGCTAGCGCGCTGAAATTTTCAGGGAAGCTTTCTTTTGGATGACCATAGAATATTCAATTGTTATTATTACTAAATTGATCAATGGAAACATTTTATTGAGCATTTTATACCGCTATATAATCCATATATATAATTCTCCTCTGCGAGCCATTAGAAAAAAAACGAGCGACGCGTAGCTCGCCTCTCTCTTGCCGCGCGCAGTGAAGCGAACGATCCCACGTCGCGACAGGCTTAGGGGCAGATAATTTAGTTTGAACCGACTTTAAACTTACAGGAGGTAACTATTACCACTGGTGGCCAGTTTGGGGGAGACGATATGGTCGAGTGGTTGGGCACACGATTGCTATCCCACTCGACACGGGTTCAAATCTATGTGTTCTAGTCAGTAACGTATTCACACAACGTGTTTTTTACGAGTTGTCTTTTTACGAGTTGTCTTTTTACGAGTTGTCTTCGTTTACCCAAAAAAAGTGAAAAGATAAAATCGATAGCAAGATTTTAATGCAAACAAACAGTCAAAGACTAAAAAGTAGAAAATAAGAATCATTAAAAAAGTTTTAAAAAACCCACGTTTTCTGATTGAACTAAAAAGTAGAAAATAAATGCTATACATCACAATAATGCAAGCGATCACTCTACTAAAGCGATCAAAAACGTGGGGCGCCGTGATTTTCTTACAGTTTCTAATACTGTTGACTCTCTACAAGCTCTCTAATAAAAGTCAATAGTATTATCTAATCAATAGTAATATAACTTTTACTTCGGCGCCCCACGTTTTTGATCGCTTATAGTAGAGTGATCACTTGCATTATTGTGAAGTATAGCATTTATTTTCTACTTTTTTAGTTCAATCAGAAAACGTGGGTTTTTAAAAACTTTTAAAATGATTATTATTTTACAACGTTTGTAAAGTAAGTAAAGTTTCCCTTCCAAACCCGACGGTCTCTGGTAAAGTTTCTTGTTTCTGGGACCTCTGTATATGAAAGGATAGTGTGGTCAGCACTACACCGAACTGCCGTTACTTTCCCTAACGTTAGTTAGGTACCCATGTGAGCTGAATTGACTCAGGGACGGTCTACTGATTTAAACCCGAATTCAAAATCGTTACAATGTTTGCTTAGTTGATAATATTTTATCATAATAATTGAAATACAATACAATTAGTGGTAATTAGTCTATTAAAAAAGACGAGCCGACCCGCGGTGTATCATACGCCGCTATTTAGTTGTTGTTTTTTCTACTTTTCAGTAATTCATAATATGTGAATTCGTCAGTACCAATGCTGCCACTGAAAATATTTGCTTTAAAACACTAACCCCCCCCCCCGTGAAAGCAGCCTCCTCTTAGTTACCTCCTCTAAGTTTAAAATAGTTTCAAACTAAATTATCTGCCCCTAATAGCCGTCACCAAACCCGGCTCTACGACTGTAAACATTTAGAACATTTAGCGTGAACCACAGCTCACCAGACCATGTGAGGGGTGAGGGGTGGGGGAGAGGGGTGGGGGTGGTAGCCATAGAGAGGAAGAGAGGGGACTGCAAGGCGCGCGCTTACAGCTTGTTTTCTAACGTTTCCCAGAAGATAATTATATATATAGATAGATTGTATTTCTTGCTTCCTTGTCTATTTTTTTTATTAGTTATGCTAAGTAAAAGTGAGAGAATATGTAGCGTAGCTTAAATAATGTATAGATTTAGTCGATTTCATAAAACTCGTGGTCCAGTACTAAGTAATGATTGATTATCCCGGTGGACCCCACCTTTAATCTAATCGTAATTTAAATTATGATAAACCCGAATACAGTGGTACTATAAGATTTTCCATCTGAACGACTTGTATGACTCGCGTGATCACTTTCATGGACCAGTAGTTTTGCCCCACACTGCATTGTTCTGGATCTGTGGTTACAACACATTGGGTTTAATTTTCTCTTTTTTCTCTGATCACCCCACCACCTGTGTTCAGTCAGGCGTATCATTGTTTACGTTACGCTACACCTGAGACCACGCGTCTTCCGCGCGGCCAGGTGACGTACGTTGAATGACCACAGGTGGTCGCCACCTGACACTAAACAAACATATTTACAAGACAATACGTCTTTAATGATGACACGTTAAGAGGGTTGGTCTTCTGCGTGACTTATTTAGTTATCCAAACAACCAATCGCATTGCATGCTTGGGAGACTAAAACCTACAGCTGAGAGTTTTGACAGGCCTATATAAACTCACAACATATACACCCAGTTCATTTCTTTTCTGCTACAGTCGGAGAGAGATAGTTAAAATCTTACAACCATGCTGCATATTGAGGTCTTTAACGATGATCATGTTTTCAAGTGCCTTGACCTTGCTAAGGTTAAGCTGTTGTCTGACACCCGGTCTAAAGTCTACCTGGCGATAGAAAGAGAAAAGCCGCACGAAAAAAAAGTTGTCAAAGTCTTCAGGAACACGGAAAGTTCTTTCAACAGTTTCATCAATGAGATCGAGATGGTGAAAAAGCTGAAGCACCCCAACATCATGATGTACGACAGGGCTGTAGCGATGCCTAAATACAACATCCTAGTCATGCCTTACTGTGAGAGGGGAGGCCTTTACAAGAGGGTAGGCCGGATCAGCCAGCGTGAGACAGACAGGTATTTCCTGCAAATGTGTGGCGCCATCAAGTACCTCCACGGCCTGAACATCGTCCACAGGGACATCAAGCTGGACAACTTCCTGCTGGACGCCCAGCACCAGCTCCACCTGACGGACTTTGAAATGGCGTGTAGGGTCAAGCCAGGCTGCCCCACCGTCCACCTACAGATGGGGACCCTGCAGTACATGGCGCCGGAGATGCTGGCAGAGCCTGAAGGATCCTACAATGGATTTAAGGTAAGGACATTTTCTTTACATATTTTAATATTTCTAGTTACTTGAGTATACATTTATTAGAAATAATATATTTTAGTTCACTAAAACTTTATTTTAATTTGTTTTATTAAGCTTTTTTTAGTATATTATAAGTATTTACTCTTTATATTCTTTGTTGTCATACACCTTATGTTATGCAAATCTAGCATTACTTTTCTTGCATAATAAAGTCTGTATTGTTGTGTTCCACAGCTGGATATTTATGCTCTGGGCGTGGCCCTGTGGTGCATATTGTTTGAAAAAGACAGCCAGGACATTGAGGACTACCTGGGTATAGCTAGGTCATACACTGGGCGCTACCCGTGCATCTTCTACAAGTGGATCTTGGAGAACGTCCTTCACCCTGACCCAGAACTACGATGGGACATCAGTCAACTGATTCAAGGTCTTTGTCGTTCATGGCTGGAGGATAGAGCTAAAGCCTTGTAAACCAAAGGACAGTATTTTTTTTAAATTTTATTTTTTGATCTTAATAACACTGCATGTTCTAACCGTTTTGCTCATATTATAACAAATGCATCGCATGTCTCACTAATTATTCTGTACTTCATTAACTTAATGCCTTGTTCGTTCATGTTACTTAATATAATTAATATTCTGTTTGTGTATTGCTGTTTTTTCCTCATTAACACAGTGTAGATTTATTGTTTTGAAGCATGCTTTTAAATATCACTAAAAACATAACAAATATTATTTCTTGCATGAACATTGGTTTCATAGCATAACTTTAGAAATAGATATAATAATTAATAATACTTTTTAAAAAAGTATATTGATGAATTCAAATATACATCTTTCTACAAATAAATTATAATTTTGTTACGTAGGAGTAAAGATGAATCCTCATTTCAAATTATTTCTTTAAATTTAATGATATGTAATATCTACTAACATTTTGGTTTAATTAATGCCAATATTACTAGATCTTGATCTTTTTCTTAGGTTTAACCAATCATTTTATTTAGAATCAGTGACCTTTACTAGAAGACTAAACAATAAACTGCAGAAAAAAAGTATTAACATGTGTATAAAAACTAACAGTTTAAATAAGCACTAACTTCTATATTAATCAGCTGTTTAATACTATATGATTAACCAACTTGCTAAACTATTTTAACTAAGCAATGGACTAATCAAATCACTAACCGTCTAACACACTAACCGACTAACACACTAACCCTAACCCTCTGGTTAAATGTCGCGGCGACAAACCATTTTAATCAGGCCACAGAGTGGAAACTTTGTGACGGTCCCAAGCCCGTGTCAACTGAGAGGGGAATGGTCTCACACTGAGAGGGAATGGTCTCACACTGAGAGGGAATGGTCTCACACTGAGAGGGAATGGTCTCACACTGTGATGGGGAATGGTCTCACACTGAGAGGGGAATGGTCTCACACTGTGAGGGGAATGGTCTCACACTAAGAGGGGAATGGTCTCACATTGAGAGGGGAATGGTCTTACGATGATTAGGGAATAGTCTCTCTCGGAGAGGAGAATGAACTCACACTGAGAGGGGAATGTTACTATCACCGAGAAGGGAATCACCCCCCACCCCCCACAGTGACCTATACTGTTGGTAGCTCGGACAATTAATAACCCAACAAAGCACATGAGATCATATCAGTTTGACGGGGTTACATCAGAGTACTTCCAATTAAGCGAATTGGATATTAGAAACACGCAAATTATTTATGCTTTGTCATTGGCAGAGCTGTTGTAACAACAAATTAGGCCTAAATACATGTGTGTGGACTGCTTTCAATTTATTTGTAATGTATACAGAGCAGATAGTGTATTCTTTATCATGTATTGTTTAGCATCTAATGACCCCATATCTTCCTGCGATTATCTGGTTCATGGCATCATAAAAAGAGTTTATCATCCTATATTGTGTTAAAATGATTATAGATAATTTTATTGTTATCGACTGTATGGTTATGACTGCCGCTGAATTCTTAACTCACCTGTCACTGTTATAACTGAAATACAGTTTACCTGTGCATGTGTTAGCGGTTAATGTCATCGATAAAATGTCCCTGAACGTATCACTGTTTTATTTATATTATGTGAAGTATAGGCTACAATTATTTAATAAAAAAAAAGAATATAAAAAATCCTTATAAAAACAGTATTTTTAATGCATTAAAAATGTAAAAAAAGCTTTGTTCGATTAGAAGATCTACTACACATTTTAGCGACAAAAGCTTTTATTAAAGGAAGCCAGTTTGTATATTTTCTTATTTTCAGTGCATGTAAACGGTTGTTTATATAAAAGTTTATTTTTATACGAGCCGACCCGCGGCGTATCATATGCCGCTATTTAGTTGTTTTATTTTCTACTTCTCATTAATTCATAATTTGTGAATTCGACAGTACCAATGCTGCCACTGAAAATATTTGCTTTAAAACACTATCAGTAGGTCGTTAAGGACGACCCCCCCCCCCCCGCATCCACACTCCTTTCCCCCAACCCCTACCCTACCCCCACCCCACCGTGAAAGCAGCCTCCTCTTAGTTACCTCCCCTAAGTTTAAAATTGTTTCAAACTAAATTATCTGCCCCTAATAGCTGTCACTAAACCCGGCTTTACGATTGTAAAAATGTAGCGTGAACCACAGCTCACCAGACCATGTGGGGGTGGGGGTGGTAGGGATATGCTTAGAGAGGAAGAGAGGGGGCTGCTAGGTGCGCTTACAGCTTGGTGTTTGTAGGATATCCAAGAAGAGAATTATATATATAGAAATTTTTTTGTTTTATTTTCGACTTATTTAACCCGAAAGAGGCTAAAACAAAAATATTTGCTAAACGATCAGTAACTCGGGATCCCTAAAAGGCGATTACCTGCCCCTTCTTATCGCCAGTTCTAGTTATCTGGCGTGAAAGCTACAGTCCGTGAACAGTTCGTCGTCAACAGCAAGGTGAACATTAGTTCATAATTTTGTTCTCTCCCCTTAGTTTCTATATCTTTTAACTACTTTTAATAACTTGTTATTAAAAATTAAAATAAATGAAATATATCTTGCACTGCCATCGTAGAGGAAGGAGTCTGGAAAATTTGAACGAAATCACATTTTCACAAGCGGGTCACAATTGAGTAACAATATTCGTCTCACACCCACAAACTAATGTTGTGAACTAACTAAACGCTTGTTCTCTCTCCTCTCTAGGTCAACGGCGTCACTAGATCGGGTGTTACCGGGTGTCGTAGCAAATAGTGATAACCCCCCCCCCCCCCACCCTCCTCAATTTATTTGCATTTTAGGTATGGTGTCGCTTCGCTTCTGAATAAACCATTGGTTTGACAGTAAAGTTTACTGTGTGTGTGGGGGGGGGCGGGGGGGGGGGCGGGGGGGGGGGGGGGCTTTAAAATTTTCGAGGGGGAAGGGGCGGACTAAAATTTACGGGAGGGTGGACACTGTTAAACTTTATAATTTCTATATATATTCCATTTTGATTGGGTAATGGAAAAAGGAAGACGGACTATAGATATGCCTGGAAAAACTCTGACTATAGCATGTAACCAATGTCGCCCGGTCAGTACCTCCTCCCATCCACCCCCACCCCACTACTGCCACCTTGTTACGCTACTCCTCTATTTGTGTGATGTCCTTTACCAACAAATCAACTCCTCCTATTTCAACCGACCTGCTTTGGACAAAACAACCAAACAATTAGCATGAAATGTCAACCACAATGGCGACTGCTAATTTATCAGTCCAGTCATTAAATAATGCATGGACGCATCAACCATAATATCAGCGAGTATAAGATCAACAATAGCCACACCCACATTATGAACATTTCCTTTATTGAAAACTAATATCTGGGATAGGTCACGTGATTAGAGATTTGGAGATAAAGCACTGTTTTTAAACAATTGATGAGATGCAACATTTTCCCTGTATGTCATCAGATGGGCGGCGGGTGGTAGTCCTAGCGGTCAGATCACAATAATTTGTATTAGACAAAATTGGTGTGGACACAAAACCCAAGTCGAGTCTCACTAGTGTCGTTACAGCTGTATGCCTATGGTGACGGCAATAAGCATTTCACCATAGGAATCTGATGATTGTGTTTGGCGATGGGCATAAACTTTTCAACATTAGAATCTGATGATAGTGTTTGATGACTGTCATAAACTTTTCAACATTGGAATCTAATGATTGTGTTTGGTTGAAGACATACACTTTTCAATATTTATAATCTGATGATTGTGTTTGGTGACGGTCATAAACTTACTTTTCAACATTATAATCTGATGATTGTGTTTGGTGACGGTAAAGAACTTTTCAACATTGGAATCTGATGATTGTGCTTGGTTGAAGACATAAAGTTTTCAACATTGGAATCTGATGATTGTGTTTGGTGACGGACATAAAGTTTTCAACATTGGAATCTGATCATTGTGTTTGGTGACGGACATAAAGTTTTCAACATTGGAGTCTGATGATTGTGTTTGGTTGAAGACATAAACTTTTCAACATTATAATCTGATGATTGTGTTTGGTGACGGTAATAAACTTTTCAACATTGGAATCTTATGATTGTGTTTCGTGACGGTCATAAACTTTTCAATATTTAGAATCTGATGATTGTTTCTGGTGACGATCAAATTAGAAATATGATCATTGCAATTAGGTACGAGCAAAGCGTCTGAGCATTTGCTATCTGATGATTTTGTTTGGTGACTGACATATTTTTTCAACAATGTCTTTAAAGTTTGTATTCCTGTGTTTCTTTCTGGTAGTCAAGACAAGCAGAGGTACGTATATATTTGGATAAATGGTTTTTGTGTCTGATTTTGAAGAATTTGTTGTAAATATATATAAGAATACGTAAATACCTAAGTTGCATGAAAGTAGGGAAAAGACGACATAAAAGCATGTCGCTTTAAGGATACAAGATACACATGTTTTCGATAAAAACATTTAAATTCCTTATTCAGTACTAACGCCTATTAACTATCTAACTTGAATATTTCGGTTATCTTTTTATTGCGATGTGAAACATGGTATTATCCCCCCGGTGTTCCATTTTCTAACAATGTTTTATTGTCATTTCAGAACACATACGTGTAATCGTTATTTATATTTATTTTTATTCAGCGAGCATGATCTAGTGGACGACTCTTAGTAGGCCTAAGCCCTGATGTAAATACTAGATGGGATAGCTGATAAGCATTCACTTAGGACTTAGACCCTATACGGAAATGTGGCACTTAACCCTAATTACACGGATGTGTTATTCATGGTTTTATGAACATTGTTAATCTATGGCTCATCATAATAACGACAAGCTTGAGAAAAGCACTAAAAAACGCAAATATTTATACTGCTAATATTATTAATGGAAAATTAAGTTATTAATAAATACATATATCATTAGAACTATCGCTTAAAGAAAATAAAGCATTAAGACGCAGTTACGT